TGTCGCACCCCCAGACCCTGCTCGGGCCGGGCCCCGCTCGGTTGCTGGCGGCCGAGCCCTTCGCGAGCGCTCCAGGGGGGGGCTTATGAGGCCGCGCGCCAGCTCCGCCCCGGCTGCCATTGGCTGCCGAGCCCACGCCCGCGCGCCTATTGGCTGCCGCTGACAGCTCCGCCCCTCCCCTCCGCCGGGCCCATCAACACCGCACGGCCCGCCCACCGCGCGCCGTGATTGGGTGGGCACAGGCGCCGGCCTTGCCCTATCATTGGTCGGTCGGCAGGGACACGCCGGCGCCCACCCACGTGCCTGCTGACCGGCTCCGCTGTCATTGGAGACGGCACACGCCAGCCAAGGCAGCGGCGACCAACGCCACTGTGGCCGGGCCTCGGATTGACAAGGGTGCCTTGGGGACCGCCCAACGACCTCACGGGGAAGACAGTATTGGTTTGCGGGGTCAGCCCGAGGCGCGGACTGGCTGGGGAGGGTGCCAATCACTGTCCGCCCTCTCCTGGTCCCGCCCCGGTTATCAGGCGGCGGCTGAGTACGTGAGACCCAGCACAGCATCAGCACCCGGCCGAGACCCGGGTACACAGTGTTCGAGACCCGTGTCCGGAGTTTGGGCGGAGCCTTCCCCAATTTGCAAAGTGCGGAGCTAGGCAACGTAGATCCCAACACGACCCATTCTGCAAAGGAGAACTGAGAACTGCAGGAAAATAGGGGCAAGCAAAGAGCGACCCCACCCCCCAGGAGACCCATTTCCTTTACAATCAAACCTTTGCAAAGGGGCACGGCCTTCGGAATGAAGTTAGGTGCCCTCTCCCGAGTTTCCTAAAACGTATGGGAGGGGACGAGTTAGGTGCTTCCTGACCTGGATTAAGCTCAGCTGGGCTCCACGCCTCACTGTGGGTGGCCTACAGCCGGGGCCTCAGTTTCCCCTATGAATGGATAAGGTGGTAATAACCACTCTCCGTCTGCCCCCTCCCGGGAACGTTACAAGAATCAAGTGGGACGAGACACGTAAAGGGTTTGACCCGGTGGCTTCACATAGTGAGCGTTTAATTAAAGTTTGTCATCATCATCATCGTTCCTGTTATTGTGAACTGGACCAGGAAGGGGTGTGGGCACGCTCCCATTTCGCTGGCAGGAGTGTAAATGGGGAAATTTGGCATTTTCTAATAACATTGTAAGTGTATCTACCCTGTAACCCAGCAAGCAGTTCTTCCTGGGGTTATGTGCCCGGAGAAGTGTTCTGGAGCTTGCAGAATTTGGGAATGCTTGCTGCAGAACTGTATGCAATAGTTTCCAACGTTTTACTCTAAATATCCATCAGCAGGGGATTAGATAAGTAATTTGTGGCACACAGTAGACTGGAATAATTACTATGTAGCGATTGGAAAGGTGGATCTATTATGTACTGTCATGGAATAGCTCCTACACTCGTTGAGCAAGCTGCAGAAGGGTCCAGAATTCTGTATCCAATAAGATCATGGAACCAAACACACAGAAGCCAATATCATGGGGTTTCTAAGAGTACAAAGGTACTTCAAAAAGTTCCTGGGAAGGTATGTTTTGTTTTTGTTTCTGCAGCTGGCCAGTGGGGGATCGGAACCCTTGATCCTAGTGTTATAACACTGTGCTTTAACCAACTGAGCTAACCGGCCAAACCCCTGTATTATCTTTTAATTCCATCTTTCCACGAACTTTTTGAAGTACCCTCGTACTTATGAGTGTCAATGCCCAGAAAAAGGTCACCGCTGAACTGAGAAAACTAACTTCATCTTTGGGGAGATCCACGTTGATAAAGAGAGAAGTCAAAGGGGACTTGAATCTATTCTGGGTGTTTTAAATTCCTCTGGGACTGTATTCATATATTCCTCTTGGAGTTAAAATTTAATTTTAAGAATAGGAAATAGTAACTGCTCTCAAGGAGCTCCCTAACCAGTGGGACAGTGGGAAAGATAGAAATGGAACTTTTCTTTTCCTTTTTTTTTTTTTTTTGGCCACTGGCCAGGGATATGAACCCTTGACCCTGGCGTTATCAGCACTATGCTCTGACCAAGTGAGCTAACCAGCCAGTCCCAGAAATGGAATGTGATCATGTTAATAGTGTCAAATGTGCACTCATGAGGGATTTTTTCCCCCCACACAAGCCTTTTTTTCCTACTTCCAAGTTCTTGTAAGTCTGGATTCCAGATGTTCGGATTTCAGACTCTGAAATTTTAATTTTTTTTTTAATTGGGGGACCTAAATAGGTTGTCAATTTTATTTTGCTTAGGGAGACTTTAAAACTTATCATAGACTCTCGATGATGAGTATATTCAAGATTCACCATACAATTCTTTCAATTTTCTGTTAGAAAGTTGACATTTTCTTTTTGAAATTATTTCAAAATAAAATGTTAGAAATAAGTGATAATCACTGTCATTTAATTACCTCTGTGCCTCAGTTTCCTTGACTGCAAAATGTTTGTAACTATAAACTATATCAGAGGGTTGTCTTGAGGTTAAATAATACAGTACCAGCCCATAGTGGGTACAAAATAAACACATAACTGTATAATTAAAATCTGAAAAAGGCACATCAAAACGTTAACCTTCTGAGTGGCAGGATTACGTTTTCAATTTTTCTTCATGTGTTCGTGGTTTGCAAATTTTCTAAAGCGATCAAGTATCAATTTTATAACCTGGGATGGAGGGCGAGAAGGAAAAAAGTTTTACATTAAAAAGTCAAACAGGCAGATTATAAAATGGTGGTATAGACACACAGTGGAATATCACTCAGCCATGAAAAGAACGAGGCTCTGACACACACTACCACGTGGATGAACCTTGAACACATCTCGCTCAGTGACAGATGCCAGACACAAAAGACCACATATTGCATGATACCATTGTATGAAATGTTCAGAATAGGCAAATCCATAGAGATAGAAAGTGGATTAGTGTTTGCCAGGGGCTGGAGGGGCAGGAATGAGGTGTGACTGCTGAGGTTTCTTTTTGGGGTGATGAGAATGTTCTGGAATTAGTGCTGATGGCTGCACAACTCAGAATATACTAAAACCCACTGAAATGCACACTTTAAATGGATGAACATTATGTTACATAAACTATCTTAACAAAGCTTTTATAAAAAAATAAAAACAAAAAGTCAACCAGGAAAGAAATATACCCTGTATTATGATTATTTCTGCATAGCAGAAATTTCTGCGTAGCAGTTTCACAAATACTTTTCTGAGTTTTGCTAAATTTTGAACAAGACATTGTTCTTAACTTATAACTTACAAGAAATACCCAGAAAGTCAGCAATCTCAACAATGAACCCACCTCAGTGTATTCTGCTATATAGGGCCCACCCAGGACAAACTGTAACAAGGGACGCTATGGAGTTTCCTCTGCTCCTGAGATCTGGGCATCTTTCCTGTCTTTACTTCATTCAACCTTGATACTTTTGAGATACAATTCACACACCGTACAACTCTCCTACTGAAAGTGTATAATCCAATGGACTTCAGTATATCCAGATGTGTACCCATCAATCAACTTTAGAACATTTTCATCACCTCAAAAAGAAATCCCTATACCCTTTACCTATTACCCTTCCATCCCCAAATCCTTCTGCCCGGGCCCCTGGCAATCACTAAACTACTTTCTGTCCCTATAGATGTCTGTGTTGGACATTTCACATGAATGGACTCATATGATCTTTTGAGTTCTTCCACTTAAGATAACATTTTCAAGGATGTGACATTTTACAGACATAAAGGCCTAGAATTATTTTTTTTATTAACTGAGATCTGCCCATCTGGTTGCTTAACCATCAATAAGATTAATGTGAATAATTTCTTCTGCAGGATTCAGCACCATCACCTCCTTAGAGTGATTTTTTTTTTTTTAATGTATCATCCCTAGCTTCTCACCTCTGCTCAAAATAGCATTTCGGGGTGTCAGTCCCCGCAGCCCAGGGGTGCCAAAATTTTCCACAGGTCCACACTCTCAGAGCCTCCCCCTCCAGGGTTAAGCGACTCCTTCATTAACAAATCTGGTTGGTGACAACACCCACCTGAGGCAGAGCTGGTCTCCTGGTGGGTGGCCCTCATAACCTGTTTTTTCAACTGTACATGGGGATGGTGCCACCCACCTTCGTGGGAAAGTGACCGTGGTTCCACACCACAAAGCATATAATGTGTGCTGGTCCCCCATAGCTCTGCTGGAGACTAACCCCTCTCCGACTTTGATGTCTGCCTGGTGCAGAATCAAAGGAGAAGGCAGGCCCCAAATCAGTAGGGACAGGATGGCCCAAGTGCAGTTCTCTTGCCCATGAAGCATGACTCGCGGATTCTGACAGGTCAGGAACATGTGGTCCCTACTTTCACTGATTTCCACTGAGGAATGTCCTAGGTTTTGCTCTTCCTGAGAGCTGATGGTTTTCCTCTAGACATTATCCATCCCATCCTTTATAAACCTGTGCTGCTGTCTGATACAGTAGTGGCTAGCCACATGGACAGTGCAGACAGAACATGGCAGAATATTCTACCAGCCTGTGTTGCTGTACAGCAGGGGCCAGCAAACCTTTCAAGGGCTAAATGGTTAAGTATTTTCAGCTTTGTGGGCCTGCTGGTTGTAGTGTAAAAGCTGCCATACACAACACATAAAGAAATGGGTGTGGTTGTGTGTCAATAAAACTTTATTTACAAAAACAGGCAGTGGGCTGGGTTTGGCCCCACGACTGTAGTTTGCTGACCCCTGCTCAAAACTGTGCAAATAACATCCCAACACCTAAGCTGCAGTTAGAACCTCAGCACATCACTGATCTTCTAAGGTCTCAGTTTTCTCATCTGTAAAGTGGGGATGATGCTACCTGCCTAGCCTTTCCTCTGGGGTTTTTTGAATAGAAAAATTAAATAATAGGTACTAAAGTGCAAGGAGAACTACAAAGCAGTTTGCAAACAGGAAGCCACAATCAAATGTATCTGTGAAAAACATTTATTCTGAGAATCTAAAATCCGGGCAAAGAATATCGAACTTTAAAAAAAGCCTACGTAGGATTTTGTTGTTTCTTCCCTAATACATTAACAATCTAACAATGAGGAGGGTACAAAAAAAACCTTTAAAAACAATATTGCTCCAGTTTGTCTGTAGTTGTGATGTAAAATATCCCTGTTCTATTGAGGTATAAGCTGCAAACTTTGGTAAAGTTAGAAAAATTAATAAACCATTCCAAAAAATACAAAAAAACCCCCCAAAAAACAAAAAACACAACCAAACCCTAAGTTATATCTTTCTTGGTACATATACAGTAACTACAAAAAAAATTTCATTTAGAAAAAGTGTTCGTTCAAAAAAAAATTCCCTCTTCAAATTCTCAACATCTGAGTTAATAAACTGGATTTAAATGATCGCTAAAACTCAAACCATTCCCAAACATCCACCCAGCACCAGGAAGAACTGGATGACCACAGTTTTTAGAATCTGGTTGGCAATTTCAACAATTCAGTGCTAAAAAACGAGTCCCGCCCCGTCTTTAGAAAGAAAGGAACAACTAAAGGCACTTGAACATGGCTTTGAGTGCTTGCTTCCGTGGGCAGTGTCGGGCCACACGCCCGGCCCCACGGACAGTCCAGCCGAGGTAGTTTCTGTAGGGCCCCAACTCTGCTCACATTGGGGATCTTGGACACCAAAGCAGCCTGATGTGGGATGGCTTTGAGGTGAGAGTTTAAACCAGGCCAAGAGAAATTTCTTCCTCTCTCAACAGCTTCTTGAGGGACGGCTGGGCCACGCCACGCCACGTCCAGGACCACTGCTGGAACCATCGTGCTGGATTTTATACCATAAAAATGCCTTCTGGAAGATGCACTTGCTTTGACCTTGGGAGCCAAACCCTCAAAGCTTGGAAAAATTGTCCTAGGCAGCCAGACGCCTTCTTATTAGTCGGTGGCGGGAATTTCTGAGAACTTGACACGAGGAACATAAAAGCAGCCTTCAAGCCACGTAGTTGCTAATTCCATGTTCAAAAAAAATGCTTTTCGCTGATACACTGCAGGCTTTATATTTTTAAAAAACTAAATAAAACACTGAGAAGTCCAACTTTCAGCCAGAATACATAAATTCCTGAAAATGTATAGATTAAAAAAAAAAAAAAAAAAAAGGGAAGACAAGCCTTTTTAGGGAATGGAGGGAAAACTACATGTTTAAGTTAAGCCTACTAAAAACAATATAAGGGCCAAAGAAAGACCCTGCCAATGCGCTTTAAGAAAATTGCCTGCTCAGAAGTGCTTGGGGATCACCGGCCGTTGCCGTAGCCAGGGAAGAGCTGGTTGAGGACGTTCTGCAGCGGCTGGTTCACGTGCATGGCATAGCTCCGGCCTAGGTCGTAGCGACAGGCCGGGCAGCTGAATACCTCAGCCCGGAAGGATCGGTCCAAGCAATCCTGCAAGACAGAGTGGGCGGGTGAGATACACCGCCCACACCATCCGGGGTTGCTACACCTTTGCTATAGGGGAGGGGTACTCTCCCCAGGGACAGAATCAAGGGCAGTTACTATCTTCTCATAAGGTCCAGAGGTCCCTCCCAACCCTCAGTTTCACTTTCTACCACTTGCTGCCCATCGCCAGCCTGGCCTCCCCAGGGCCCCTCAAAGACTCCAAGCTCATCCAGCCTCCAGGCCTTTGCATATGCAGGTCACACCACCCAACAGGTTTGTCCTTAGGCTGTCTTGTCACTTATGCCTTGGCTCAAGACACCAAATCAAAGCGGTCTTCCCTGATGCACCTGGAATAACAGAAGTAGCCCCTCCCTGGCCAGTCCTATCAACTTGCCCTGTTTTCCTCTGTAACAGCCCCTTCCACCTTCTGTGCTTGTCTTGTTGACTAATGTCCTCATGTGTGACAAGCCAGACACCCTGAGATCCAGGGGTGTGTCTTATTGATCCTCCCAACACATAGCATCGTGCCCAGCACATAGTAGATGCTCATAAAATATATGTCAACGAGCAGAAAACAGGGAAGAAAGGAGGGAAGGAGGGAGGGAGAGGAAGGAAGAAAGGAAGTCTGAGCCACACTTCTGGGTTCCAACCAAGCCATGCGTGGGGAAGACCCAGGTGGACATAGATGCGAGGCCTGGGGTCTGATGGGTCCTGGTAAGGTTCCACTTCCCAATCAGACAAACAGAGAAGAAACCACCTGCCTGGCCACACTCCAGGAGGAATGAGACAACGCACAGAGGTATGCAGGCAGCTGCACAGGTGCACACACCTGAAGGATGTCATCTGGCACCGGGGTAAGGGAGCAAATGTCAACCCAGGGGAGGGGCCTCAGCACATCCAACCGCCCATTCCAGCTGCTGCTTTTGTTTCCTATTTGTAAAAACTCCTAAATTCTGGGCCGGCCTGGTGGCGCACTGCAATGGTGCGTCGCTTGGGAAGCACGGCGGCACTCCCGCCGAGGGTTCGGATCCCACATACAGACCGGTTCCCGCTCACTGGCTGAGCGAGGCGCGGGAGCAGCACCGAGGGTTGCAATCCCGTTGCCGGTCCCGGTCCGGTACGGGGGCGACACTGAGGGTTGCGATCTGTTGCCGGACACGGAAAAGGACAAAAAAAAAAAAAAAAACTCCTAAATTCTTTTTAAAAGACAAGTCTTGATTCCAGAGACAAAACGTTGAGTTGAGCAGAAATAACTACCAAGATTCAGGTCCATGGTCAAAATCAGGCTCTGGAGGGCCAGCCCGTGGCTCACTCAGGAGAGTGCGGTGCTGATAACACCAAGGCCCCGGGTTCGGATCCCATATAGGGATGGCCGGTTTGCTCACTGGCTGAGCGTGGTGCTGACAACACCAAGTCAAGGGTTGAGATCCCCTTACCGGTCATCTTTAAAAAAAAAAAAAAAAAAAAATCAGGCTCTAGATGATAGCACGATTCACACCAGCCTCAGACTGGGAACAACCCAAGTGTCCATCAAGAGACAGATGGATCAACACAATGTGGTCTATCCACACAATGGACTATGACCAAGGAATGAAAAGGAAGGGAATCCTGACACGTGCCACAACATGGATGGACCTTGAGGACATTGTGCTCAGTGAAAGATGCCAGACACATAAGGACAAACACTGTGTGATTCCACTCATAGGAGGTCCCTAGAATCGTCAGATCCACAGAGACAGAAAGTGGAATGGGGGGTGCCAGGGGCTGGGGAGGGGGATGGGAGTAAGTGTTTAATGGGGACAGAGCTTCAGTTTGGGAAGATGAGAAAGTTCTGGAGATGATGGTGGTGATGGTTGCACAACAGCGTCAGTGTACTTAATGCTGCTGAGCTGTGCACTTAAACCCAGTTAAGGCTGGCTGGCTAGCTCACTTGATTAGAGCATGGTGCTGATGACACCAAGGTCAATGCGGTTTGGGTCCCCATAAAGGCCAGCCACCAAAGAAAAAAAAAAAAAAGCAATTGAAAAATGGTTAAGATGACAAATCTTATGTTATACATATTTTACAATAAAAAATTTTTCTAAACAAGATATAAGGAAAATCAGGGTGGAGAGTCAAATCCAATTGCCCATGGCCCCTCAGATGCTGAGCTTCCTGAGCAAGGACGGACAGCAGAGACATACAATGATGCAAGCTGGCCTCTCCCTTCATACCCCTGGCATTTCTGGAAGCCTCAACACCCAGGCAGACATGACGGCTGGTCCCCAAAACCCCAGCAGTCCTTTCTGGCCTCACAGGGCTTCTCAGGCCCATCCTTTTCCCAGCTCCCACATGCAGCTGGGCCCACTTGAGCTGACCTAGGGACACCTCCTTCCTGTCAGAGGCTGAGTCACAACCTACAGACAGCTGGCCAGGCAGGAGTTGCTAGGCCCCTTCTTGCCACAGGCAACTAAGGCTCTGCAGGGTTAGGTGGCTTCCCAAGGTTGCAGGCTGGGAAGTGCAGAGTCAGGGGTCAAACTGGAGCTGCTGATCCCAAAGACACATGACCCTTCACCCCCTCCTGCCAAGCCTGGGACCTCCCAGAACATGCAGGGTGAGCATGGGGCATCTCTCACCAATGCCTAATGAGCAGGACAGAGCAGCCCACACAGCTGAAGGGACTCAGGCCACAGTCGTGGTGGGTGTGGCCGGAGGGCAGAAATGCATAGGGCCTGACCCAGAATGTCAAACTTCTGATGTTCCCTGACCCCTCTCCTGCTCTGAAAGGTTGTATGGGGTTGGGGAGGTGGTACTAGACCCAGAGGGTATGGCCCCAAGACCAAGAAGCAGGCCAGATTGAAAGCGAAATCACAGAAGCTCAGAGACCATGGAATGTTGGGGATGGGGACAGAACCTTCCACAACCATCTGTCTAGAATGACCAGTTGTGGCCAGAGGTCACTGCAAAGAAGCCATCCACCCAGACCAGCACATCCCAGCTGGAAGGTTCTGCCCCCAGAGGAAACAGCAATGTGCAGGGACGTTTGCGGCTTTCACGACTGGTGGCGGGGGGTGTGCGCCCAACCCTCTGCAGTGCCCAGGATGGCCCCGCCACAGAGGATGACCCAGCCCCACACGTCCACAGTTTTGTGGGGGGCGTCCCTGGCCTACCCCCATCTCAGGTCCTTCCAATCCCTCTTGAAAAACATCAATTCAGATCACTGTTTCCCTCCTGAGACTCTGATCACAGGCCTGGATCTAAAGCCCACCTCCTCGGCCCCCACTGCTCTGACGTGTCTGCCTGGCAAGGCTTCTGCACGGGACTTTCCCTGTACCTGTGATGCTGCTCCCCCAGGCCCTATCAGCTGTCAGGTTAACACTACCTCCTCCAGGAAGCCTTCCTTCCTGACTCTCACGCCTCCTTATCCAGACCTGGGGCCAGGACTGCAGCCCATTCTCTTCTGCCCTGGACCCTCAGCCATAAATAAGGCTGGGGAGAGAATGTTCCAGCTAGAGGGGAAAGCCAGTGAACAGATCCTGAGGGAGGCAGGCGATGGCCCATGGAAAGGCCATGTGCTTGGAGGTCATGGAGGTGACAGGGGCGAGCCGGGAGGGGCACAGCTGGCCAGGGCGAGGCACAGGACGGTGTTCAATAGAAAGTGACTTGAGATCATGATAACGACTGGTGGCTATTGTAACCAAGGCCACCGAACAGCAGATGATAAGGGCCACCAAATGAACAGAAGCAAAAGCGAGTGAGTCCAGGTCAGCAGTGGAAGGTGTGTGGGAGCGAGAGGGCAGTCCGTCCTTCTAGAACCTTCCGCCCAGCCCGCGCAGCCCACTTACCTTGCACACGTTGTGCTGGCACACAGTTGTGACGGGCCGGAACACCAGCTCTTGGCAGCAGATACACTGGAATGTTTCCTCCACGTTACTCAGGAACTTCTGAAACAACAGGAACGGGCCATGAGACCGCAGAGATGCGGGCACCAGGGCCACGGCGCCCCCTTGCTACACTCAGCCACGTGCCCTCCATTCCCATCTCCATAGACTCTACCCCAGGGGTAGAAACAGTGATGAACCTCATTTTAAGATGGGAAGAGAGTCCCAGAGATGTGCAGGCTTTGCCCAAGGGTGGGAGGCCACCGCGCAGAGCTGGCCCAGGGTCTCTGGTATTGCCAGTGCTGAGCAGGACCCAGATGTGACCAGCTGGTGGCAGCAAGGACACCCCGAGCTTCAGCATCAAGATAGGGTTTTAAGAGAGGATCCTGGGCTAGCCAGTGAGCTCAGCTGGTTAGAGCTTGGTGCTGATAACACCAAAATCAAGGGTTCAGATCCCCATACCAGCCAGACTCCAAAAGAAAAAGAGGATCCCTTAAGGCATGGGTTTTGACTCATTCAATAAATAGGTGCTGGGCACCCACTGCGGGCCACTCAGGCTCCAGAATGAACAAGACAGAAGAAACCTTCTCCCTGCTGGGAGCCATGTGGAGACCAACAATGCACAAGATGGAAATGTCCTAGCAGGGCCAGGGCAAGGAGTCAGGGAGGGGCTGCCCAGGAACACAGGAGGGCAGAGAAAGTTCTATGGAGGACCCCCAAACTGACACCTGAAGTAAATGTGGGAGGCTAGACAGGGACCCCCAAGATGTCCACGCCAAATCCTGGTACCTGCAAACATGCCACCATCTGTGGCAAGATGGATGTTGCAGATGGAATGGAGTTAAAAGATTGTGAGATGGGAGGTGATCCTGAATAACCCAGGGGTCCAGTGTCCTCACAGGGTCCTGATAAAAGGGAGGCAGGAGGGTCAAAGGCAGAGAGAGACTGGAATATGATGCGCTACTGGCTTTGCAGATGGTAAAAGGGGCCACAGGCCACACGCTGAGGGCTGCGGGTGCCTCTAGAAGCTGTGAAAGGAGGACATGGGTCCTCCCCTGGAGCCTCCAGGAGGAGCCAGCCCTGCCTACGCCTTGACTTTAGCCCCTGAAGGCTCATTTCAGACCTCCAGAACCGTGAGAGAATAAATTTATTGTTTTGAGCCACTAGGCTTGTGGTAATTTGTTACAGCAGCCCCAGAAGACTCCTATGGGAGGAAGAAACTGAGCCAGGAGGGTAAAGTAGGGTGCTCCAGGCAGAGGGAACCACAACATCAAAGGCCCTGAGAAGGAATGACTAGGCAGATGATTCCAGAAGGAGACAGCACCAGAAGTAACAAGCAGATCGGCTCGGGGCCACAGGGAGGGGCTAGGGTTTGAGTTTGATAGCCAAGGAAAGCCAGTGTCCACCAGGTGGGGTCAGTGGCCAGAGAACAAGCCACTCACCTGCAGTGACTCATCCTCATCACTCACCTCACTAAGGGCAAGAGGATCAAAAAGAGATACCCCTGGTTTGGTGGTTCCTCAAAAAGCTAAACAAAGAATTCCCACATGATCCAACCATTCCAGTCCTAGGTATCTACCCTAGGGAACCAAGAGCAGGGACGTGCAGACATGAGCACACCGTGTTCACAGCAGCACGATTCACAACAGCCAGAAGGTGGAAGCAGCCCAAGTGTCCATCCACAGATGAATGAGCAAACACAACGTGGCCCGTCCACACTGCGGAGCGTGACTCAGCCTTAAAAATGAAGGGAATCCTGACACGTGCTGCAACGTGGATGAACCATAAGGGCATTGTGCTCAGTGACATAAGCCAGTCACACAGGGACAAATACTGTGTGACTCCACTCATAGGAGGTCCCTAGGTCATCAGATCCACAGAGACAGAAAGTAGAATGGGGGGTGCCAGGGGCTGGGGAGGAGGATGGGGAGTGAGTGTTTCATGGGGACAGAGTTTCAGTTTGGGAAGATGAGAAAGTTCTGGAGATGACGGTGGTGATGGCTGCACAGCCATGTGCATGTGCTCAATGCCGCTGAGCTGTGCACTTGAATGCTGTTAAGACAGCAGGTTTCACGTGACGTGTATGTGATCACAATGAGAAGCGTGCGGGGAAGGCAGCCCCTGCCGCCGGCTGCGCTCACCGGCCCATCCTTGAGCGAGTTCAGGATCTCGCGCCACAGCTTGGCGTTGCTCTTGTCCTCTTTGATGAGGCTGTTCTGCTGGGCCGTGAGGCTGTAGGGCTCCACCTTGGTTTTCTTGGGGGTCCGGTGCGGGGACCCAGCCCTGCTCTGGCCACCTCCTGGGGGAGAGCAGAGCAGTGAGGGGAGCCGGGGCAGGTCACACGCACTGTGGACAGGGCCACCCGTGGAGACACCCACCTGCCAACTTCCGCTTCCACTTGCCCTTGCCCTTCCTGGGAGACGTGAAGCCCTCCTCCTCCTGCTCCTCTTTCCTGTGGTTCTCCTTTTCCTTCTCTCGGTTGGCCAGGGCTTCCAAATAGCCTTCTGGATACTACAAGAGGGAGTGGATGGGCCGTGAGAGAGGCTTTGGGCCCCGCACAGCCCGTCTTCCTGCCACACGCTTTGTTCCCACGCCCCTCACCAGGTCTAGGTCTCCAAAAGCGCCTGATCCTTGATCCCCGCAGAAGACCACGGTGGACTCAACACTTCCTTAACTCACAAGCCTTGGCAATAGCTAATCCTGTCTAATCACAATGTGTACGCGGGGATGACAGCACCTCCCCCCGGCAGGGTCCACATAAGCATTAAATGAGCTAGCTGACGAAGGGCTCAGCACCGTATCCAGCACCTGATATCTTATCTTTATCTTTATGATTTAGATGAGGGTAGGCACACTCTGCAAGGGGCCAGACAGTGGATATTTGCAGCTTTGTGGGCTGCAATCGCTCGGCTGCTGTTGTGTAAAAGCAGGCCCAGAACACTTAAATGACTGAGTGTGACTTGCTCCCAATAAAGCTTCTTTTACAAACAACTACCTCAAGGGCCTTAGTTTGCCAGACTCTGATTGTGATGAACCCTGGACTCCTCCAGGTGCCAACAGGCATTATTTGAATGTCAAGAAATCTCTAAGGCACCTATAGTCACATCTAACTCTCCAGTCTTCCACCGAGAAGTCTTCAACGACCTTCAATTGCAATGAAGACTAATGTCAAAAATAAAAATCCTATCCCAGGGCCTGGCCAGTTAGCTCAGTTGGCTAGAGCGAGGTGTTATAACACCAAGGTCAAGGGTTTGGGTCTCCCTTACTGGCCAGCTGCCAAAAAAGAAAAAAAATTCCTACCCCCACCTGAAGTTGACATTCTCCACCCCCAGTCCCTGCATTTCTGAAATTCCCCATTGCAGGAACACGTTCAAAAGACAAGCCTTGGTGACCCCCCAGGGGGTAGGCACTATCACATTCTCAATAGCAATTAAGATTCCTTAAATAGTCTCACAGTGATTTATCTGCTGTAAAGCAACTCACCATAATGAACAGAAAACACCATAATTATAGTTCCAGAAAGCTGTATGTGGCACTGAATAAACGCTCAGAAGATCCACTGCTGGGAACAGGTATGTGATTACTTAGGGAGACTATTCATCCTTCTCTCTCCATCTGGTTTTGTTTTGTTTCTGTTTTTCTTTTGTTTTGTTTTGAGGGGTAAGAGGTGATAATCAGAGGAAAGACCAGCAAAAACAAAGAAAAGAATAGATTCCAGGCTGACTCGGGGCAAACGCCTCTCCTAACACAACTATAATAGGCAAGTCTGGCTCTAAAGGCAAACGTGATCTGTGTATTGGAACACGCACTGGCTAAAGCATTTATAATCTACTGCCAGGGAGGTGCGACCAGCTGGGAGCCTGGAAATCACCCTGGAAGAGAGATAAACCCGTGGAAGCATCAGGCCCAGAAGGCAGGTGCCTGCCTGAGCAGTCACTAAGTGATGCTGTGTTCATGCCTGCGAGCTCAGCAGCCCCGGAGCTGGCTCCTGCACTGATCCACGGTGACCTTCAAGGAAGAGACAGGCTCAAAGTGGGACATGTGGCACCAAGGTGTGCAGCACCTGAGCCACCCTGGGAGTCCAGAGCTGGTCTTGTTGCCTGCCATCTGTCCCCGCAGCGGGCCCCAGCCTGGACGCACCTGCATGGTCAGTCCCAGTCTCTTGATCCGGTCCTTCCCTTCCCTTGTCCAGGGGCCTGGCTCGTCATCGTCCCGTCGCAGAAGGTAGCGCCACACGAGAAAGCCGGACTTCCCCTTCTCGGGCCAGTACTTCACGACCTGTGGGGAGCGGGAGCCAACATCAGTCACATCTCGAATTTGAAGCAGCCCAGGCAGGGCAGCCTTCGGCCGGGGAGGGGTCAGGGAGGCCCATCGCAAGCGCAGCTTACCTTGTAAATGCCGTCGTAGCGGTTGCCTTCGGCAGGGGCGTATTTGCTGTGTTTGCCGCCCTTGACGTTGCGCACCACCCTGACCGGCTTCCCCGACCGCCAGTCCTTGGCCTCGGCCCCTTCTTGGTCGTTGATGGGGGCACTGCAGTTGAGAGCCAATGCCCTGTGGGTAGAGTCGGGACCCCACCTGTTACAAGCTGGGATAGGCTGGAATGCGTCCCCCCAAGAGATATGCCCAAGCCCTGGCACCTGTGAAAGTGGCCTTCTTTGGAAATAGGGTCTTTGCAGATGTAATCAAGTTCAGATAAGGTCATACTGGACTCAGGAGACCCTAAATCCAATAACTGATGTCCTTATAAGAAGGGAACACAGAGGCAAGGATGCCAAGTGAAGACAGAGGCAGACGTGGGAGGGAGGCGGCCACAAGCCGAGAAATGCTAAGGTCACAGGCCACCTCCAGAAGCTCGAAGAGACAGGAAAGAGCCTCCCCTGAAGCCTCCAGAGGGAGCATGACCCTGCCACACCTGGATCTCAGACCTGCGGCCTCCAGAACTGGGAGAGGATAAATGTCTGTTGTTTTAAGTCACTCGGTTTGTGGCACTTTGTTATCTGTCCCGTCAAAGGCCTCCCCGGAAGGAGACGTCTGGGCATAGAGGTCAGACTCGCCACTCTGATATAAGATGCGACTTCCACTGGGTTTGAAAGAATAAAACAGCCACAGGACTGCTCTCTGCAGACCACCAGCACTGGTTTTAAAAAAACTGGGTTTCAGAGAATTTCCTGTCCAAATTTTATCACATAATGTGATAAATGTACAGTTCTCCCCATCCTTAAAGATATTTTCTGAAGGGCCGGCCCGGTGGCGCAGTGGATAGTGCGCCGCTTGGGAAGCGCGGCGGCGCTCCCGTCCGAGGGTTCGGATCCCACATACAGACCGGCTCCCGCTCACTGGCTGAGCGAGGCGCGGGAGCAACACCGAGGCTTGCAATCCCGTTGCCGGTCCCCGGTCCGGTACGGGGGCAACACTGAGGGTTGCGATCCGTTGCCGGACACGGAAAAAAGACAAAAAAAAAAAAAAAAAGATATTTTCTGAAAACAAGATTTTTCGCAGCTACTGAAATTAAAATATTCCACTGGACAAATAAATGTCCAATTAACCCTTCTGGTTTTTGGATACCTAGTAAGCATTATTTTGCTGTTCAAGTAATGGAAAAACAAATATTACTGCACATAAAATTTTCACCTCCCCATTGTTTATAAACACATTTTTCAAAGTGAAATTGTAGGGTTATCAGTAAAAACACTTAAAGGATCTTCATATACACAGGGAAAGAGGTTTCCAGAATGATGGCACCAATTTGTGTCTCTACCAAGAGTAGGATACTAGGCTCATGCCTGGCATTTCTCAACACTTCTGAATTTTCTGGCCAATTTTACAGGGAAATAATTAGTATCTCACCATTGCTCCAATTTATATTTGATTACTAAAACTGCACAATTTATCATGGTCACTGGCTATTTGCATATCTTCTGTGGATTATTTGCATGTCCTTTGCGTTTTTTCCTATTAGCTTTTCTTATTTATTTACAAAAGCTCTTTATGTAATAAAGACGTAGCCACCATGTATCATGTTGCAAACTTTCCTCCTAAATAGTCATCTGCCTTTTAATTTCCTATATAGGATTTACTGATACAACTTACAATATTTAGATCAAATCTCTCAGTCTTTTCCTTTGGGCTTTATGATGCTTTTTAGGCTGAAAAAGTCCTTTCCCATCCTACAGTCAGGGGTGAGCAAACTCCGGCCCACTGCCTGGATTTACAAATAAAGTTTTATTGGAACACAGCCATGCTCGTTTACCTATGGTCTATGGCTACTTTTGCATTATGACAGCAGAGGTGAATAGTCACAATAGACTGTGTGGCCCACCAAGCTGAAAATATTATCTGGCCTTTTACAAAAAAAATTTGGTTTAATCTGTATAAATGACTCATAGGTCTTTAGCAAACGGAGAAGGGAAGAAACTAGTGTCCAGTGTCTCTACATTCTACCCCACATTTAATGGGAATCTCACCTGCCGGACAAGATGCCCCAAACAGAACTAAGGACATGTCGAAAGTGCATCCGCAAAGACAAGAAAGCTGTTTGCCACGAACCTGTTGGTGTTGGTGAGTTTCTGATCACAAGACTGTTCTGCAGTCCGCTTGTTGCCAGAGAGATCTCGACCACCACTACCTGTGTATGTGAAAAAATTCCCATGGTCCTGAAACAGATAACAAGGGTTGGGTGAACCCCCTGCACAGAGCAGGAGAGACTCCACTGAAAACAAAGCCCTACGCACCCACTGGGATGGCCAGTGCCAATGAAACAGAAAATAAGCGTTGGTGAGGATGTGAGAAATGGGAGCCTTGTGCACTGCTGGTGGGCACATAACACAGTGCAGTCGCTTTGGGAAACAGGCTGGTGGCTCCTTAGGAAAGTAGCACAGAATTGCTATATGATCCAGCGATTCCACTGCTGAGTGTGTACCCAAAGGAATTGAAAGCAGGGTGTTGAAGAGAGATTTGCACACCCATTTCATAGCAGCATTACTCACAACAGCCAAAAGGTGGAAACAACCCAAGTGTCCATTAAAGGATGGACAGATAAACACAACATGGTCCATCCATACAATGGAATATGATTCAGCCTTAAGAAGGAAGGAAATTCTGACATGCGCTACCACGTGGATGAACCTTGAGGACACTGTGCTCAGTGAAATAAGCCAGTCACACAGCGACAAACACTGTGTGATTCCACTCACAGGAGGTCCCTAGAATCGTCAGATCCACAGAGACAGAAAGTAGAATGGGGGGTGCCAGGGGCTGGGGAGGGGGATGGGGAGTGAGTGTTTCGTGGGGACAGAGTTTCAGTTTGGGAAGATGAGAAAGTTCTGGAGATCACAGTGGTGATGGCTGCACAGCCATGCAAATGTGCTTAATGCCACTGAGCTGTGCACTTAAAAATGGCAATGGTGGTAACTTTTGTGTTATATATATTTTACCACAATTTTAAAAAATAAAGCAATTCCCCCCCCCCCAATACACACACACTCACCACATCGTCCTCATAGCCCCCGGCCAGGACCAGGGAGTAGGCCCCGTCGTTGCTCCGGCCGTGGATGCCCGCCACGTGAGGCCGGTGAACACCTGACTCGCTGACCTGCAAATACCACCAAAAAATAAGTGGCACCTTCTGCCAGGACTGCTACAGAAGAGCTCTACCCGCCTTCTCCCTCCCCACCACAGAACCAAGCGCCTGCCAGTTACACCCGATGCCGTCTGGCCTGCTAGTTGCCTTATTACGATCACTTTGTCCCCCCCCCAGACAGCCAAGGCTGAGCCGCACCAAGAGAAGAGCTGTCTGGAGCTCCAGCACTGCCACGTGCTCGTGGGTGGCGTTGCTGTGCCCTTGGACGCTTCACTTCTGCATCTGGGAAATGGGAGCGACAGGCGTCTGGTGGGATCGGGTTTACAATGAGGCTATGGTAAAAGCCATCCTGTAGTGGGCACACCAGTCGAGGTGCCATTAGGACCCTGTAACTACCATGACCAGAAGAAATCGCCCAATGAAAGCAGGATGAGCTGACACGGCCCCATGGAGGGGCTTCTGGAAGCCCAGCCCGTGTCCACAAAGCCCTTGCAGGTACCTGAACTCTGAACCGCCACATGGTGCCCACGGGGATGCCCGGGATGGGTCCGTAGTGATTGGATGGGACGATGGTGCACTCCTTCGTGCGCCCCACGCACGCCATGCCCTGTCCGCCACAGAAACAGAAAGGGTCAGCGGTGTGAGCGCTCACGGGAAGGGAGCAGGGCCATGGTGTCACAGGGCAGGAGGGACCTGCCTCACCTTGCCCCAGTCCCGCCGTGAGGATGACGTGGCGGATGCCATCTTAGCCTTCTTCTTACTCTCTTTTAGCTTCTCTCCTGCCAGCACCACCTCGCTGGTGTCATTCCGACACTCGGGGCAGTACCTGTGAGGACAGGGGTGTCACCTGCAGCAGGACACCCTGGCAGATGACCAGCTCAGCTGACACATGCCATTTCGCCCAGACTGTGTGTACGTAGCTGTTTCCTCCCAGTATCGCTATCGTGCTGCACTGCCCAAAACAGGGGCCATCTGAATCTAAATTCACTCAAATTAAATAAATCAGAAATCCAGCTCCTCAGCCACGTTCTCCACGTCTGAGCGCTCAGCAGCTGTGCACGACCAGAACATCCCCATCATCGTGGAACATTCCATTGGGCCTTCTCTTGTCCTTCTCCTGCTTACATCCCCATGGCTATTCCCAACAGTGACAGCACGCCCAACTGTGACATGGGAAAGACATGGGGAAACTCCACGGGTGCCTCCTCCCTGCTGTGCACTCAGTGTCCCTATCTCCGCCGGGTGGGGGAGGGGTGAGGACAGCACTGAGTCCTGGGGAGGAGTAACTCCACCTAACACACAGTGTCATTAGAGCCCAGCGTCACAGCCTCTCAGCCACGTCCGCAGTGACCACGAGGAGCGCCAGGAACATGTGGCTAAGGGTCCTGCTTTTGCAGGGCCTGCAAGGCCCAGCACTCTGTGTCCCAGGTCCTGAGGCCTGGGCCCTCCCTTGGGACACGGGACGGCTCCTTTGTCTGCTCTTCATTATTGCCTCCCCCGGGTTTACTGGGTGACCAACAACATGAGGCCACCTCGTGGTGCCCCCAGCCTCCGTGTCCCACCTGAGCCGCCTCTACGGCAGGCACAACGTCCACTCACCACTCAGCCTCGCTTGGCACGCTGCTGAGGGGCGGGCAGAGGCAGTATATGTGGAAGGCCATGTCACACTCATCGCACATGAGCTGCTTGTCGGGATCCTGCCGGCCCCCGCACAGGTGGCAGGCGCAGACCCGACAGAGTTTGTTCACGTCGTCTTTGCAGTGCTTGCAGGAGGGCCCGCTCTTCCCTGGATGTGACACGGAGGGCAGGGTCAGCTCCAGGGGACTGACATGGAAAAGGAGTCCCCCGCCCCATGCCCAGCGTGGAAGACACAGTGGCGGGGATCTGGGACTCACGTCTCGTTGGGTTTTCCACCATGGGGCTCCCTTCGCCTGGGCGCTCGATCTTGAAGACTTCGTCCACGAAAACGATCCGGCAGTCATTGAGAGAATCATCCCTGTGGGAGACGCGCTGTTAGAACGTTCCAGCTGCCCAACCCCATCGAGGAGCCTCAGAGAGGATCCTACTCTCCAACCACTCGTGGAGCATTTCAACACCACTGGCTCTCATCATGTCAGGGAAGAGGCCTCGGGGGGCTTGTGCATAAGCTGAGCTACCCCCTTGCCAGCTGAAGTCCTACTAAATCCGATACAAGAAGAAAACAGCAAGGGCTGGCTGGTTAGCTCAGTGGGTAGAGCATGGTACTCAGCACCAAAGTCCAGGGTTCAATTCCCTGTATCAGCCAGCCAACAACAACAAAAAAAGATAAGAACAACATATAAACCAGAATTTCATGATGTGATATGCTGGAGAGAATAAGTTTGAATCTTTGGGTATGGAAGGCCAATTCAACAAGACCAACAAGCAAAAACCACAGAGATAAATGAAGTCTGATCATGAGTTAAAATGACATGCCCCCCTCCCCATCAGTCTGACATCTACGTTGGTTGGCAACAACCAATGGAAACAATTCAAGCCACGAACATACACTGCGTGTGCAATTTTAAATTTTCTGGTAACCACATTTGAAAAGGAAACACAGGTAGAAATAACTGGAATATGTTGTTTTATGTAACCCAGTGTACTCAAGGTATTATTGCAACATTGAGTGAATATTAGAAAATTATCAATGAACTATTTTACTTTCTTTTCTGTACAAAGTCTTCAAAATCTGGCGTGTATTTAAGCTCACAGCACGTCCCTATTCATCGTGGCCACATTTCAAACGCTTAATAGCATGTGTGGCTCACGGCTATGGGACTAGACAGTGCAGGGACAGACCTACCAGCCAGTTCAAAGGAAACCCAGGGGACAGATGCACATGGTAAGTGACCCCATGAGGGTGAGAACGGCAAAATCCAGACTGTATAAATTCTATGGGACAAATGACCAGGTTTCCTCAACAGAAGAACTGCTAAGGAAAAGGGGGAAAACGAATGGATGGAAAACTTAAAGAGTAAGAGAGATTTTAAACACTCACTTGTATGTATTGACCCATTGAAATCTGTGGACCTTACTCAGATGCTGATCAAACACTTGGTTAAAAAAAAAAAAAAAAAAAAAAAAACATAATGAGATAATTAGATTGAACAATGACTAGGTATGTGTTACTAAGAAACAGCCAATAATTTTCAGGTTGCGATATTAGCATGATAACTATGTTTCCCAATGAAGAGTCCTTTTTAAGAAATGTGCTCTAAAATATTGGCGGATAAAACGCTTTGATACGTGGGAGTTACTTTGATTTAATGGGGGTGGCATGAGTGGAGGGATGGAGATGAAACAAGACAGGCCATGAGATCGAAAATGCTACAGCTTTGTAACACTGTAACGCCAAGGTGGAGGGTTCAAATCCCTGTACAGGCCAGCTGCCAAAAAAATAAAAATAAAAATAAATTATGGCCAGCCCAAGGCTCACTTGGGAGAGCGTCATGCTGGTAACACCAAAGCCACGGGTTTGGATCCCTATATAGGGATGGCCGGTTAACTCACTTAGGAGAACGTGGTGCTGACAACACCAAATCAAGGGTTAAGATCTCCTTACTGCTCATCTTTTAAAAATAAATTAATTAATTTAAAAATGCTGCAACCAGGTGATACCATCTAGCGCTCAGTATACACTTCTCTCCATTTTTATGTGTGTTTGAACTTTTCCACCATAAAATTTAAAAATCAATAAGTAACAAAAGAAAAGTTCTTCCAAATAAAGATCCCTAAACAAGGTTGGGATGTTGAGAAAATATTTGCAACGTATAGCATAGACAAAAGACTAATAGTTGGAGTATATTAACCTCCCCTAAGATCTACAAGAAACAACTCACCCAACAGAAAGTCAAGTAGAAGCATTTCACAAAAGAAATATACATAAATGGCCAAAAATCTTGTGAACGGAAAGTGGCATTTCTTTCTTTTTTTTTTTTTTTTTTTGTCTTTCGTCTTTTTCCGTGTCGGGCAACGGATCGCAACCCTCAGTGTTGTCCCCGTACCGGGCCAGGGACCGGCAACGGGATCGCAACCCTCGGTGTTGCTCCCTGCACCTCGCTCAGCCAGTGAGCGGGAACCGGTCTGTATGTGGGATCCGAACCCTCGGGCGGGAGCGCCGCCACGCTTCCCAAGCGGCGCACTATCCAGTGCGCCACCGGGCCGGCCCTAATAATTCTTTAAAAACTGACCACAATTTAAAAGAGTAAGATAAGGAGTGTAGGCATGGGGATGTGGGACAAGGAGTCTCTGTTCTGCTCCTGGAAGAATCACTGGGCAGAGTCTTTGCAGGAGCAACTTGGGATGACCTAGTGAAATTTTAAAATGCACAGAATCAGAGACTCCTTGTCTTCGGGGCTGTCCTGGGGAAATACACCAATACGCACAGGATGAAATGTACAAGGAACGTATGACAGACTTGTTTATAATGGGGAAAAGTGGGAAACAACCTGAATGTCCATCTGCAGGGGATCGTGAAGTCAACTACAGAGACTGAATCATGAGATACTTTATTCGCTACCGTGAAAATGAATGATGGAAAAACACAGGCTTTCCCAGACATATTGCTGGGGGGGGGGGGGGGAACGGCAAGTTCCAGACTACAGATTCTATTAAAACCCACTGAAACAAAACAGACTTATTCTTTCTGTACACACATATGGACAAAAATGAGCAGGGGACAGTCTGGGAAAAGACCCTGTAAAAGGCAAATGAATTGGGTAGGGTCCTGGGGGACTTCGGCTTTATATGTGTTGTTTGAATTTCTTTATAATGAGAATGCATTATTGGGTGATTATTTGGATTCTTATGACTAGTAACAATTTTCCATATGTATATTTCACTTCAAAAGTTTTAAAGATTTTAATGAAAAAATTTGTATGCTCTCACACACAAAAATACTACATGTAGACTTCTGTGACTTGCTTTTTAACTCAATGTTACTTTTTAGAGATTGCTTCGCGTGGTCCTGCGTTGCCCACTATATTAAATTCCATTGTGAGAACATTCAACTATTGAACCATTCTTCTTTCAACAAACATTTTAACTGAGGCCACATTTACAAAATTCAAATCAAGCAAAACTAAACAATACATTTAGGAGCACATGCTTAAGTGGCAACAACTATTTTAGAGAGAAAGAAATGATTATATAAAGTGTTCACAGTGCTATGGGGCATTGGTTTTGTTCTGGTTCCTCAAATGGGCTATGGGCTTGCAAGTATTAGTTTCTTTAAATATACGTTATAAGGCTGGTCAGTTAGATCAGTTCATTAGAGCGCAGCCTCATAACCCAAGGTCGTGGGTTTGGATTCCTGTACCAGCCAGCTGCAAAAATAAATAAATAAACACATTATGCATTCTTTTTTGTAATGTTTGAAGTTTTACAAATAAAACTTGAATTAGAAGTAAATGTAATTTTTTAAAATTATGTAAATAAATTTAATTCTATACCTGGCAAAGATAATTCTGTATCAGAAATGAAGGGGGGAGGGCCGACCCTGTGGCGCACTCGGGAGAGTGCAGCGCTGGGAGCACAGCGATGTTCCCGCCACGGGTTCGGATCCTATATAGGAATGGCCGGTGTGCTCACTGGCTGAGCGCGGTGCGGGCGACACCAAGCCAAGGGTTGCAATTCCCTTACCGGTCACGAAAAAAGCCAAAAAAAAAAATGAAGAGGGGAAAGGGATTCTCAGATGAAGGAAAACTACAAAAATTTGCTGCTAGCAGACCTGTCCTTAAAGAATACCTAGAGGGAGTTCTTCAAATAAACAGAAAGGAGGAATCTTGGAGTAAAAGGAAGGAAGAAAAAACAATCAGAAGAGTAGAAATATGGGCATGTATGACAGATTATCCTCCTTATGAGTTTTCTAAATCAAATGATGACCAGTAAAAATTATAACACCATCTGATACTCAAGACAACAGTAAGTGGGGAGGGTAAGGATACCTAAATAGAAGTTTCCACATTTCACTCAAAGTGGTAAAACTAAACCAGTACATGACACATTTATTTTGTAAAACTCAGGAGAAACCACTAAGAAAACTGTTCAAAGGGGTATGTTTAAACAAGTATAAATCAGTCAAAATTCTAAAATGTTTAAGTAGCCCACAGTAAGGAAAGAAAAAGACTAGGGAGGATCAGGAGACAAAGGAAACAAACAAAACAATAATCAAATGCAGCCTTAAGCCCTAGCCTACCAATAATTACTTTCCATGTAAATGGTCTAAATATGCCAATTAAAAGGCAAAGACTGGAAGAGTGAATTAAAAAAAGAAAAATAACCCAATTATATGCTGTTTATATCTATCTTGAAACTCACTTCAAATTCAACAACATAACTTGAAAGCAAAAAGATAAACAAAAGATACATCATGCAAACTAACTTAAAAAAAAGGAGTGTCAATACACACACACACACACACACACACATGCACACCCTCAGATAAAGTAGACTTCAGATCAATTAAAATTACTAGAGACAAAGAGGGATTTTACATAATGATAAAAGGATTGATTTACCAGGAAGAAATATAACAACCACTAATGTGTATGCACCAAACAACAGAGCCTCAGGCATGAGGCTGAAAGGAGAAACAGATAATCCATAAATATATCTGGGTACTTCAACAACTCCCTCAGCAAATGCTAAAACTACTAAACAGATAATCAGCAATAATATAAATCTGAACAACACAATCAACCAATAGGATCTAACTGAAATAAATGAAACATTCCGCCCTTCAACAGCAGAATATATATATATATTTCCCCCCTCCCAAGCAACCATGGAACATTCATCAAAAGAGACCATATCCTGGTCTCTTAAACCTTAACAAATTATGTTTATTTATTTATTTTGGCAGCTGGCTGATATGGGGATCTTAACCCTTGATTTTGGTGTTATAGTACCATGCTCGAACCAACTGAGTAACCAGCCAGCCCACTTAAACTTAAAAGAACTAAAACATGCAGAGTA